TAACTGCTTTTAGAATACACAATAAAAGCTAAGCAGAAGCAGGTTTGCTGACAGCAGACCTTAAGTACTTGCACAGCCGTGCTGCAAGTACTGCTCCCAAGCATTGTTTCAAAATGGCACCGTCACTGCCTGCACCGAGACGCAGGGACGAGGCTGTGGGCAGTCACAAAAGTATCTGGAGGGCCAGGGGTGAAAGGATTCTGGGGGAAAGGCTGTGCATCCTCGTCACATGAGAGGTGCCTGGGGTGACTCACGCTCCAGTGGCGGAGGGCACCCGATGATAAATCACTCTGCAGGAACAACTGTCCAAACCCAGCCAGTGGCTGCCTGCCAGGACAACGTGTCCAGTCTACATCCTCTAAAGATTTCCCAAAATCCAAATTCCTAACTGTTCATAGTGTATGAAACTATGCACACTGAGGCATCTCCTCATTGGGAGGTAAAGTGAATAAGCACAGGTACACTATGACTGTGGCTTCAAATTGAGTTTGGATTAAACAGCTCTCCTCTATGCAACTGCAGGTCGTAATGAAAAATGCTTTCAGGTATCTAGACAAAAGAAGAGAAAAAAGTTTCACTCTCCTCTAAAGCAAAAATGGGTTTAGGAGCAGAAACAAAAGATGCTGCTGGGGAAAAAAAAAAAACCTAGAAAGAAAAAGAAACTGAGAAATCTCTGCCAGCTAAAGGACTCTTAAGCACAAGCACAGTAATAAATTCTAGAATCACAAGCATCTATAGAAAACTGTGGTTTTTTTTCCAAACCATATAGATGACCCTGTGGATCATCAAGAAAAGTGGATTCTTCTTATCGACCAAGCCTTTGCAGGACTCCCACCAAGCAACTCCAATGGAAAAAAGAAAAAAATCAAGCTGTTTGGCCAGTCTGGGTACAAACTGGATACACCACCAAACCCATCTGTCTGCTGTGAGAATAACCACACCCTGACCTCCTTGTTTAAAGCTCACAGAAAAGTCTGAGAAAGATCAAAAGCAACAACAGTGATGTGGGTTTCATCAGGACAACACCACTTCCCTTGGCTGGAGCAGGCAAAAGTACCTTGAAGGCTCTGAGCACACTGACAGTCCAGCTGATGTCCCTTCACTGACCACCTGCTGCTCCTCACTGAAGAATCTCTGGGGTCATCACAACCCCAAAAGGTATGAGTCAGAGCATAACAATTGTTTAAGGCTGCTCAGGAAAAGTGGAAAGCTGGTTCTATTGGCTGCCATTTGAATAGGTGTCGTATCTTAATAAAAACTACTTCTCATTAGACTTCTGTTTCTGCTGTAACACCTGCAGCACAACAAAGATTTGCTCTTTTTTTAATATTCATCTAAACAGTTAACACCAGCTTGGAGCAAAATAAAAATCCAGTTATGACAAAAAACTGTGCAAGTAGAAACTCAGCATCTTTAGGAAGAAAACTGAAAACTTTTAGTTATGGCTAGAACAATGTTAATGGTTAATGAGTAGAAATCCTGGCTACATCACATGTGGCACAGCAGGCGCTCTGAATCAATTTAAGTCGTGTCTGATGTGCTCTCCTCCAAAGCTGCGGAGTTCACAGAGTATTAGAGCAAAATAAACCCGTGTGGAAGACTCTGGTTTACGAGCAGCTGCCACCAAAGAACAGACAGGAAGTAAAGCTGCATTAGAATGAGATACAGAATTGTATTGTAACAACTTCACAGACTTCATCAGTGACTGGTATTTAAACAGTAAAAAAAGAATATCTGAGAACTAATGTTCTTTCAAGTAAGAAAGAGTGGAGCTACAGAAACATCTTGAATAAGAAATGAAAACTGAGGACATTATCTTACTCTAAGAAGTATACAAAATGAATCATGTAAAGAAAGTTGACCACACAGTTCTTAACAAAACAAAGAGACTTTGAAAAAGAATAGATTTTAAGAATCACTGAAGTCCATACACAGCTCAGCCTTAAGTTCCTATGTCATCAGTACAAAACTGAAATAAAAATTACACAACCTCATTAATCACAATAAAACTAGCCTAAGTCATTAATGATACCAGAAAACCAAAGTGAAAAGAAAGCTCTCCATTTAGCTGCAAGGTTTGATTATCCAATATTTCAGGCAATGCATCAGACTACTACACTGCCTATCTTTCAATTTCTTAACATTTATTCATTTATTCTTTACCAACAAAAAAAGCCTTGCACATTAGCTGACAACACAGAGGAACAGAAAGCCTTGGTATGGTTCAGCTCCCCAGAAACAGGACACACACTGCATCTGACACACCCCACACACACCCACAATCACAATGAAATACAATGTTCTATCATTTTTATGACCTAGGGAACCTATTTTTAGTGCTGCTTTTTCTTCTGCTATGACAAACCTGAAAAATTGCTCAAATACACAATTAAATTTGCTGCAGGTCAAAGACAGCACAGAATGTTAAAGCTATCTCAAACAAAAAAATGTTCAACTTGAGTTTAAAATTAGTAGAAACATTAAGCATACACAGAGCCATCCAATTCTTGGATTAATGAAGACAGGGTATTCACCAGAGGCCTACCCACCCATTGTGAACATCAGATGCATCAAATTAAAAGGCAAATTAAGCATATAAAAAAAACCCCCTCAGTTAAGAAATACCAGATTGAAAAACCTCAAGCCTATGAAGTATGTATTTGCAGAATCCAAACTTTCACAAGAGTGTTGCTCTTTCTAAAATTCAACATTTAAGCAGCAGTTCTGGCAGATGCTGCATTGGTAGCTTTGTCAATCTGTGTACAAAACTGCTTTAGCATAATAGTGACATACTTGAAATCTGGATAAACTATTCCGGGCCATCATTGTTTAGCCAAACACCGAAGCAGAATTCCAGTATAAAAATATTCTAATGTTGGTAAGTTTATCTACATTCTAGATCTCAAACTAATGCCTAAGATAATTATTAACTGACAGCTTCCCCCATAGCCTTTTTCTATTCATATAATTAAAAACATGCCTTGCTGGCATAAATCCAGTGATGAACAAACACACATTATGCACTGCCTCAAGAATCAAAGCTCATAAAACAATGTTGCACAGAGCTACAAAAATCACATGGTTTTAAGAGACTGCTGAAGCCTGTGAAAGGAACTCTTAATTAAACCAAATGACAAAAATCTAGAGAACAAAATCTCAGACAATTCCTATGAAACTCTTAACTGTTCCTGTTGATAACATAAAATACTCTCTCAACTCTGCTCATTCCTTTGCTCTAATCATGGGAGTGGCTTACTTTCAGAGAAGTTTAATTCTGTGCAGAGCAAGCCTGCATTCATGTGTGATTTACACAAGTAAGGGCTGATTACAACAGTGAATTTGTGATTTGTTCATACCAGAGCATAACATTATTCCCATTTATCTGTTTGTCCACCTCTAGCCTCGTTCAGAGGAATTCTTCTAAACATTTCAGTGAAGCAGTCTAGAATTTACTGTAAACACACATAAAAGAAGGAGTGGCATTCATTAATGAAGCACATGTTCTGTTTTAATATAGAGCATACCTACCATGCTCTTACATGATTAAGACAACACAAGAAAATGGATGAAGTAGTTCAGTACTTTAAGAATTCATTCAGAGAAAACAAAGTTAAAAAAAAATCATAAGAGTAAATAAAATTAGTTTTGAACTGGCAAGAAGAGAGACTTCAGTCTTCTTACACATTACAAGAAAAATTCCTCATTCAATTGTGAGCCAGAATCAATATTTTTCAGCAAGAGCCAGATTCAATTCAGTTTCCTTAGCAAAGCAGTCAGTACCCAGACAGCCAACTTCACTTCTCCCCCAATTTGTCAAATTTCTGCAAGCCTCACAGGACTAAATGGAAAACAATTTTTTCCAAAAAAACTCATTAACTTGAATTCCACATACCATAACTGCCCTCAGGAATTTTTTTTTCTTCCAATCAAGTTTTCCCACTATAGGAAATATTTATCTTCCACCTAGCAGCATTTAAAAGACCCAATATGCCATTAAACCTGAATATGCTTCAAGTATTTCCTCCAGCCTGGTAGGTTTGGTAGCATTAGCTGTTTCTTGTTACAAGGGTAGGTAAAAAAAAGTTAGGCAAAAGGAAGGATTTTGCAGTCCATTAAAAGGTTTTTAAAATAAAAAAAAATACACAAAAATTAGCCTGAAACAGAAAATCTATGAAGGTCTAAGTGCTGGTCTAAACCCACTGAGTTCTGAAGAAAGTCTCCTATTGAATTCAGTGATCTTTGTATCAGTCCCACAGCACCTACAGGAGCACAGAAAAAAGACAGCATCTGTATTTTAAAGGTATGTTTTTCCTGTAAAACAAAACCAGCTGTGGGTGATTTCAGTAACTTTATTCTGATGAGACTAAGCAAGGTTTCTGACTTTAAATCTAATCCAGCTTCACAGTAACCATCACTGTCACTAGGGAATTTGAGCTTTCAGTATCAGTCTATGGGACAACCACCTCAGAAAAAAGAGACTCAGAAATCAATTCTGAAAGCGATGCTGCTTCTGTATGACAGCTGATGGTGAAACTGAGAAAAAGCTTCATTCCACTCAAAGGACACTGACTGCTTGCTGGACCAGCCAGAGACACAATGAAATAACCTGTTGAAAGTGCAAATTTTCATTAGTCTACCAAAATTCACTGGCCAAAGTCTAATTTCCGAACCAATTCAGAAGAACCTACACAACACCAAATTTAGACTGTTCCCCAAAATGTTATCATAGTATGACAGTACAAATAGTTCTGATCTTCAAAATAATACAAAGCCACCAGTACTGCCCATATGTTTCCCAATTCTTCCATTTGCCTAAACATTAGTATGCTTTAAAACAAAGCAAGATTTTATCTTAGCAGCTTTCACTTGTATTCACATCACTACCTACCTGCACGGAGATGTGAAATATTAGAAATCTCACATCATACGTTTAGCCCATACCGGTAAGACCATAAGCACAACAAGAAAATTTCTTTCTGTTTCAACAATTACCTCCTTACCTTGCCTCCTTCTCTTTCAAAGTCGACATATTCCCGGGTCGGTGTCTGTCGCTGCTCCCCCTGCCAGCTGGCCGGAAAAAACTGGAGAGACAGATTGGTTCCTGTGGCCACAAAAGCCTTTTAGAAAAATCAATACAAACAGGATCAGGGAGCAAGACATTACATAAATTATGCAGGCAGTCATTTATTTTTACATCAGTTTATGTCTTAAGCCAGGCAGCATAGAGAATACTTAAAGTCAAAAACATGCACTCATCATTTTTCTTAAGTATTAAGTTACAAACATCTGATTCCATTTTGACAACATTTGCCATTGGCTGCTTCGGATATAAAATACAACATGGAATCAATACTTCTTTCAAATCAGTTTTGCTGACATTAGAATCTGTCCTTTCAGTTCTGTCTGGATACCCTCACCAACTTAGTACCTGCAACATTAAAAACTGCCCATGCTTTTCTAAGAGGTTGCATATCTCTAAAAGAAGTGCTGCTGAAGGAAAATTAACTCCTTAGACCCATTACTAAGAACAACTTTTTTCAAAAGGAAAGGATTTGTTTCCTTTCACAATCTACTTACAACTAGACACTTAACTGAAGCCTAAAGATTCCTATTTTATCATCTACTGGCATGCAGCATCAATACATAGTCCAATCAAGCTTCACAGGACAAAGTCCTCATTCCTCACTAAGACACCAGTGACACCCAGATCAGCAGATGCTGCGTCTGTGAGAAAAGGCAACTGTAGGAATTCTTCTCAGCTGCAGCCCTTTGTAAAATCATTAAAAGGATGGGCTTAAACCCATTAGAAAAAGCTTGCATTGCTTTCAAACAAACAATTTTCTACAATTTCAAATGAAAATGAGATTCAGCTTTCTTTAGAAACTCCCTGTATTTGCTTGCATATCTTAACTCCAAGCCATGATGAGCACTTCCTAGACACAAAATAAAAAATTATTTTTGCAAGTAGAAGTCAGATTCACAGTATTTTTACTCTGCTCTGGTACAGGTGAGCATGTTGTCCTGTAAGCATGTGAATACTCATAGATTCACAGCATATCATTCCTATCAAAATCCCAAACATAATTTGTTGCAATCAAATGGCTGTATTTATTACAATGATCATTTAGATTTAAATGGTTTTTAACCTAGAATATAGTTTTTCTTAAAAGCTATACAACTACTACTTCAACAGTTGGAATTTCCAAACAAGCAGATTTCTTTCAAGCAACCCAAAATTCAGCCACTTCATGGTATAACTGTACTGCTAGCTGTGACACTATAGCTGCATGTTATTTAAGATGGTTCTAGTCATGGACTGCAACACTGTCACAGGATTAATACCTCCTGTTTTGAAAGTAGAGGGCTTTGTCTTGGCTCTTACCCCTCCAACACGGGAGACTAATGCTCTGCAATCAGTTCTGGTTCCAGGCTATCCTTAAAAACAGATTTTAAATTTTTGTTGTTATTTTTGTTTGCTTGTTTTGTTTCCCATAAGCACATTCCCAATGTGATTAAAATTAACAAATCAGCCCTCGTAATAATGCCAGAAGAATACTGTATTGGTGCATTAATATTTGTTTGCAAAGACAAACATTTCAATCAGTGTAACAGAAGTTTCATCAAGGATACACTTGCACAAATAGGAGGCATCAAATCTGTCAGAACTGCAGACCATCACTATCAGGCTCACTACCTTCTATCATCCCTTTACTTTTGCAAAGGATGCTATTTATCTATCAACCAAAAAAAAATAAAAAATACCTATCTCCAAATATTTGTGACTCTGAGTCTTCACCACTTAGTCTGCTCAAGAACTGTTTCTCTACCTCCAAGCGTCTTTAGTAAATACATGTTCTATATTCCTTAATTTATACATTTAAATAAAATATCAAGGAGTGAGATCTTTGAGAGTAAACTAGCTGACCACTGAAGCCCTGTGGACCAGTCCAGTTCTGGCACTAGGTAAAAAGGACCGTACTTGCTTTCTGGGAAAGCCAGCAAGACAGTGAAGTGCCCATGCCTTCCTGCTTCCACCCCCAATGTGTGCTAGAGGGCCATGAAAAATGGGAAAATATCAGAGAAGAGAGGAAGATAAAAGTACACAAATTCCACATCCTCATAGAGTCAGGCAGGCACCACATATAACATAAAAACCTATGGAGATATTTGTTCTCCGGATTTTTGAAGTCTGTTCCCTCCCTTTGACGAGACAAAACCGTCCAGGTAAAGAGGCATCCCACATGCCTCTCAAATCAAATTATAGGTCAATACTGAAAAACTTGAGAACAGCCCTGCAAATAACCACACAAGACTACATGGAAGCCATTAATTCCCATCAAATAACAAACAAATTAAATTAAAAAAAAAACCAATTATGATTTCAGAAAGAATCACACCACTAGTTTGGTTTTAAACTTGAAAGTAAGAAAACTCTAGTTTTATCTGCAGAGCCTTTTAAAACCCAGTCTGAAAAGCTATCAGACAGTTATGCCGTGAATTTTGTGAAAAGCTTATCAGGTAGTACAAGGGCAACCTGACCCACACACAGACAACATAAATACAAGTACCTTCCAAAGCAAACCAAACATGTGAGGTTATTTAAGTTATCAAAGCATTACCAGTAAACGTGGAATCTTATTTAATACACTTCACAGTCATTTCTCAGTAATATTGGCAATTATTTCCTTTATTCAATCAAGAGCTATTTGACACACGTAACCGACAACCTACTGCTGGTTCTACATTAAATCCCTGAGCTGTTCTCTGGGGGTTTTTTCCTGCTTCAAAATATGTAAGGTCATTTGCAAAGACTCCCTTTGGAGATAAAAGAATAAATCCTTGATGTCTGGAAAAACATTCAAGACCAAAAAAAAAGTAAAATTACTAGCTCTTTTTAACATCAGTCATTACACACACTACATTTCTAAATAAACCTGACTACTCATGCCCTGTTCACAAAACAAAACCAGATGTTTCAGATGAAGAAATATAGAGCCAGTTTTATAATTAAGTAGAGTGAAAATATGTAGAACATGCATCACTGGTGGCTTCTAAGGGATGAAGTTCTGGCAAAAAAAGGCAGCAACAGGCTCAGAAGTACAAAGGTGAAACTACAGCGATTTCCCATTTATATAAATAACTGCATAGGCTGCATTAGAAAGCTAGTTATGAGCTGCATGGCCTTTTTGGTTTTTTTAGGGAGGGATTCAGGTATATTATGCGCTTTCACCTGTACAGGAACTTCCAATGCCAGCAAACTACATCTTCCTTACCTATCCATTGTTTCCCTGGTGCTTTCTTAAAGGAAGCAAATATGCACAAACATAAATTAATGTAAAAAAAAAAAAAAGTAAAATTAAGAACCTGTCAACAGAGGGCCTCTTGTAAAATAATATTACAGGTTCTAAAGCAAGAGATAACAACCAGGGATAAGATTCAGCTAAAATAAAGTTATTCAGTAAAAGGTAACCGTGCTCTTGAGTGCGTATCCTTTTACAAACAAATGCAAATGAACAAGATCAGTTATAGTAACTGATATTCAAGTAATTTTGGACATGCATACTTAGGGATACTTTTGGATGTGCACTCTTACGCACTGTGCATAAGAAAAATTTCATTGTGAACTGACTAGCAGCATGTGAAATTAAAGAATGCTCATAAATGAAACTTGGTGAAGTGAGGTTTATTTTCGAATTTACCTTGTCTTTCATTATATACTGTATATGAAAAAGAGGTTACTTCTGCATTTTAATAGAAGAGTTACAAACTTAACAATGCTACGAGGTGCTAATCCTATAGAAGCAACCCAGAGCAGAAATCAAACCAGGAAATAACAGTCAGCTCTTGACTACTCCAAGCCATACTTCATCTCACTTCTTATTTCAGAAGGCGACAGTAGTCTAACTAACCTTAATGAATGAGAAAAACGGAGCTGAAGTTGCAAGTTTCAAAGCCTAATTTTAAAAGCGTTTGATTTAGTTCACAAATCTATCAAACAGCCCACTCAGGACTTTAAGCTAGCGCTTTCTGAACAATGTTACTCATTTCTCAAAGCTACTGTTTCCGGAGGGAAAAAAAATATATAAAAAAAGGCAAAAAAAGCAAAGAAAAAAAAAAATCAGCTGAATATTGAACTATGCAGCTCGTAGCTGTAGCACGTGCCCAGGGAAGGAGCGCAGCCCGTTCTCACTGCCGGGGGTTTTCCTTCCTTGCTTCCTTCCTTCCCTGTCACCCCGGCGCTCCAGACAACCGCTCTCCGCGCTCGGGAGCGAGCCGACACCTTCGAGAGAAAAAGCGCTATTCCTAAGGCGGACAGAAATGCTGCCTGTTCACCAAAATCTCCTCTTTCCCTCGGCGTTTGAAAGGCAGCCGATGTCATTCCCGTCCTTAAAGAAAACTCTCCTTCCCGGCGCGGCCCCGACCGGCCCCAGGCACCGTCCCGTCCCGGCCGGCCCCGAGCCTTTGGGCTCGGGCACCGCGCAGCCTTCGCTGCCCGACGGCTTTCCCGACGGCTTTCCCCGAACTTTTATTTCACGAGCCAGGCGCAGCCCGCTCCCGGCGGGCCCCGAGGGGAGCGCGGCGCCACTTACGATCTCGGAGCGGCCGTCGCGGCAGGCGTTCTGGAAGCGGGCCTGCCTCTCCTCGTGCGGCCGGTCCCTGAAGCCGGTGTATTTAATCTGCGGGGAACAGGGCGCGCAATCAGGAGGGGCCAATCCCGGCGATAAGGGGGCAGCGGAGCGCACTG